AACGAGAAGAGACAAACACACAGCATGTCAGGACCGGCTTGGGCGTGGATAACGCGTGGTCTCTTCTTCATTAATGTTCATGTTGCTTTATCCGGGGGCTCTCTTCGCAGTAACAATTTGCGTGTCGTTCAACATATTGTACTTCCTATCTTAGAAGTATAACTGTTCATGTTGAAAGACAATGTATTAAACGTTCTCATATTATCTAAAGTAACAATGAAACTTGGATGGCTTGTACATGCTTCTTGATCTTTCTGTCCTTTTACCTCACCTCCGCTCAAGAGTCAGAAAATGAGATGATACAATGTGCGGATGGACGGAATCATATTGTACATGTCTGTTTGTTTATTGACTGTCTTCTCCAAATTGTAGTTCACAAGGCATTCTTTAAAAAATGAAGTTATAAGACAATTAGGGCTTAGGACCCTTGGACTCTTGCACTTCTACCTCTCATCCTTTAACGCATATTGGATAGAAAAGGAATGAATTAAGAAACACATTATTTTGGAGGAGTCCGAAGCATTCGTGTCTGCGCATACAACCATGCTATCTGTATAATCCAAAAACACCTGTACCTGCAAGGTATCTTACCTGCCAAAACAGCGCTTCCATGGCGTTCCGGCCTCTTTCCTTTTGGCTTCCCCCAAGACTCAAGCCCCCCCCCCCCCACCCCACCCCACCCAAAAAAAAGGAACGGTGCCTTCAAAATAACGTACCCTTCTCGCTCAGCCAAACAGACTCGGCGAAAGCGACCTGTGAAAAAGGCAGCGATGTGTCACAGGTCACCTTCCCTTTGAGTTCTGAGGGCCCCTGACCAACACAGGCCAAAGGGCTTGGTCAATTTGCGCGCTCCGGTATTTGTAGGGCCAGGCGCCACGCACACGTTGCAGCCATGTTGACATTTGCTTTAGGCTGTGCCATGCTCACAAAGCCTGCTTGATGCCTCACCGCCGACGAATCCTTTAGGGCCCAGGAGGTTAGGCTGGAGCGATCTATACCAATTTCTGCCCGCCAATTCGCGTGAGCTCCGCTTCATGCTTGCTCCGTGTGGGACCACCCAGCAAGTGCCAAGAGACAGGGTTTAAGGGTTTGGCTTAGGGTCAACTAAGCTTAGGGCTTAAGGTTTCTTACCTGCCAGGAGCGTGCCTAAAAGATACACTGACAGCAGCTGCTTGCATCTGCTCCTTTTGCTGGCGAAGGCTACTTTTTCTGCATGCGGTCATAAGCGTCCACTTCGGGGTTCCCAGGAGCAAGGAGAAAACATTGGACATTTCAACCAAAACGAGCCTCAAGGAGCCGAGGCTCGTCGGCAGGAATAATGCTGAAAGGTCCCGAGACACTGTTCCCGAGGGCCGTGTTGCGGCAAACCCCAGCTCCTGGCCGTTATTGTTAGACAGGCAATAGAGTATGGGGAACACCCTCTGGCGGGTGTTCATTGATGTTCAAAATGGTTGGCCAATCCGATAACCAGAAAGGGGACCCCAGGTAGAGATCAGGGATTTGAACAGCCCAGCATGACTTTGAGTTGCTAAGCACCCAGCTCGGGTTCGACTTGTTCAATCGCCCTCGCGTGCCTTCGGCAGGGTAGCCCGCTGCCTCTGCCGCTGCTGCCTCTGCGTCTGCCTGGCAGGCGCAGGCAGGCGCGCACGTCGCGCGCACCGCACGTGTGGTTGGTCGTGGAGCTTTGTCGAAATGCGGCCATGGGTCAAAACCCAAATCGTACCCCCAGTGAACATCCCAATCCCCACTAAAATAGGTTCTAAAATGGGTGGTGCACCTACCCCAAAATGGGTTCCCATTGGTTTTGACCCAAAACCATGTGTGTTTCCTCAGCAACCCAGGTGTTGCTGGCGTGGAGCAAATCTTGGAGTTTACTTGTCAGCTCGTTGGTCAGATGGCTAGGGATTTGGGCGCGGGCGGTATGGGAAGTATTTTCGCAAAGGGAGTGTGGATGGTGGTTCGTGTGGACGGCATCCTCTTTACTGCCGCGGACACTAATATTGACCATTGCTCGTTTGCTTTTTTAATCAAGCATTCCTTTTACTTGGTGTGTGTGTGTGTTTTGGGGGAATCCCCATAGAAATAAGAGAACATTTGCTGGCCAGCTGTTGACAAGGCTGCAAGCCATCCGCTGGCCTTTGAGCTAGGAATCAAAACCCCAAGTGCGGAAAACTGTTCGGGATGCTCTAAACCCAGCCGAAGCAGCGGCTGTTGGGGAGGCCCATCTGGCTGTGGGTCAAAACCAATGGTACCATTTTGGGGTAGGTACCACCCATTTTAGAACCTATTTTAGTGGGGATTGGGATGTTCACTGGGGGTACGGGATTTTGACCCATGGCCATCTGGCGAAAAAGAAGATCTGCCCGGCCCGCTCGAAGCGAGCCTCTGCTTCCACACACTGGGAGCAGCGCCGCTTCTCAGGGGGCTTGGTTCGCCTGAGTTCCGAAAAGCCGACCCTCTCCTGCGAGGTCAAGAAACGAAGTTGGGCTTAACACGTACCCAAAATGTGCCACAGTGGAAGAAAGGGTAAGTCCTTTTGCTTTCCACTGACCCAAGGATGTAAGTGGGTATTTTCATCACGTCCAAAAGGTTTACCAAGAAAGGTCCGACAAAAGAGGAGCCGGCTTCTGGGACTTGAGAACCTAGTCATTACAGAAGTAGACCAGGAATTGCTTAACCCAAAATCTATTGGATTGGAGGCTTAGCCTAAAATAATAGTCTTGGAGAAGACCCCAAATACATGGGCGTGTCTTTTTTGAGGGCACCCTTGTTGGATGTTCTGTGATGTTCTGAGGTTCCCTATGGTGAGACAAACAAAAACATATACATATATTTGTATTCCAGCGCCCAGCCGCCTGCAGCTAATTCCCGCACTCCTTCCGCGACACCTTTCCAGTCGCAACCAACTTGCTGTTTCATGTCAAGGCGTGAGCACGGCAGGCATCCTTGTCGCCGTGGCGCTAAAATTTTGACGTGATCTGAAAAATCCGTTCGAGCTTGCCAAGTATGCTGGGGCCACATAGGGTCCTCCAACAAACATGCTTTCAGATTCTGCTTCATATTTTCATGTTGACCCCGGACTAGTCACCTTGACGGAATGGGCCCCGGGCTGCACAGTGAAGGATTCTCTTCTGGGAACCCTCCCCCCACCACCACCCCCAACAATCAACCAGCGGTGCATCAATCTTGGTTCCCAGAAATCCCTTTTGGCCGAAATCCCTGAATGTGTCATGCATCTCCCAACCAGGTCCACTCGTTATGCTCCAAATACCTTTGGACTCCTTGATTGCTAGAAAGCTCAATTAGCTGGAATCGAGCTTCTGAACACCCGTTTTGGCAATAATTGGGTGTCTTTTGTTTAGGGGTGGGCTTTTTGGGATTGTGTAAAAGGGAAACCCAAAGAAAACCACCCATTTGCGGTGTCCGCCGTTTGGAGCCCACGGGAAGGTTATGACGACTCATGGTCCAACATGGCACCTGATAGGCACTATTCGTCACCCCTTGCAACGGAGTACCCCGATCAGACCAAATGCGCAGCTTATGGGCTTTGTGCCTCAAGTCTGTGCTTCATTGTTCTTGGTGTGTGTGTGTGTATTTATTTATTGGCTTCCGTGGTTCTCTTCAGTTTGGGTGGGTGACAGCAAACAACACGCTTGGGTTAGTCTCCTTGCGGGTCTAAATCAATATCGGAGAATCAACTTTACGGCTGAGGGCCGAGGCATCTTCCGTGAGAAGCTGTTGGAGTGCAAGATCTCCTGCGACCGATGCGATTGGATCTCAAGGGCGCAGCGGAGTTGGGGCCGGGGTTGGTCGACAATTACCTGTTTAGACCATGATTGAAACCTTCAGACTGGCGAAATACCCCTCCTTTCGGGGGCAACGTCTGGTTTGAACATTGCCGCTTTACCATCCCACTAGCGCAACACCTAGGGCGTGTTTGAGGAAAGGCGCCTTGGTACCCTCCCGCAGGTGCCCATTTGGGGTTGCCTCAAAGCAAGCGAACACCCCACAGTGGTTGGCTCCCTTGTGGTTTTTGTTTGAAGCCACCCAAAAAGGGCACTCTCAAAAAAGCACGCAACCAAGTGCGGCGAGCTAACCCGCGACAGAACTTCCCTGCGAAACAGAACTTCCCACCCCTCAAGCTCCGGCTCGAAGACCCGCATGCGGGCACTGCAAGGCAAACGCGTCGGCTCTACTGTGGATACACGAAATCCTGCGCCACTTTAAGCAACCCTGGAATGATGATTCCGCTGTAAATAGCAACAAACAATGGTTTCAAAGTGGTGCGAAGTGGATTTCGCAACCATCCACAGTGGGATGGTTCAATCCTTCCATCAGATCCCTAAGCTTCCATCAAAACCTTCGAGGCAGGGTCAGGCCTCGGTTGGGGGATGGATCCTTTGGCCTCACTTTAGGTCCATTGAATGGTCAATCCACCCAGGTTGCCATGGCAAGGCTCTGGGCTATCCCAGACCGGTCTTTATGGAACATAAAACCCATCTAAACTAGTGGAACCCATCTATTTCTATCCAACTACTACCCGGCCAAAAGTTGCAATGCGGAATCCAAACCCATCCAAACCAGCATAAACACCCAAACCGACCCATGAAAAGCTGACCCAAGCGCACGACCCATGAACACCGGCCGCTTGAAAACCTCCCCACCGACCCAACCCGCGCCTGGCACGAGGTGCAGAAGTCCCCGTTCGCGGGCAGCGCCTCGAAGCTGGCGGTCACCGGCAGCTCCACGGTCTGGCGAGGGCCGCTCTGGGCGCTTTTTGCCGCGCTCGGCCGAAAAACACGTCGGGGCACCGAGAAAGGAGATAGTCCATGGAATTTTCTGCGCTCAAACACATCTGGGCAGAGAAAATGACGTGGTTTCAAGTTTGGCCCAAGAAATATGTGATGTTCCGTAGAATTCTGGTTCAAGGTCGGCCCTAAAATCTTTGAAATAGTCTTGGAGTAGACCGCAAGTCGGGGGTGTTGGGTTGGGTTGGAGCGGGGGGTGTTGGGTCTGGACGTGAGAGTCTCTGATCGTGAGAGCAAGTCTTAAAATCTCGCCGGTGTCTGGGATTGTACCAGCACAAAACTCACTTGGCTGTGGCCTCTTTCTCTGGAAGAGAAAGAGCTGCAGTGGCGCAACAAGTGGGTATGGGTCAAAATTAAACCACCAGAAAACTGCAGGTTGTAGTCCATGCTTCCATTTACCAGGGTTCCATTTTGGGTACCATGCCTGGAGGGCGGGCGTCCATCTGTTGCCCCCAAGCAGCCGCTAATCAGCCCAGGAGCCCCTGAAAAATGAAGAGCTGGTTAGAAAAGAGAACCCAAACAGAAAAACGATTTAGGGGGTGGAACCCATTGAACTGTGTAAACTGAGGCGGGGTGCAGAAATATGACTCTTAGACCTGGTCCTTCAATGCCATGCAAATTGATTCTCTGAGACCCAAGTTGGAAAGGCTTGGGCCACCCTCCTAAACACAACCTCCGGTTTGTTCTTTGTAAAGGAGGGGCTTGGTGGAAGCACATGTTGTCCAATCCTCCCCAAGTTGGAGAACCAAAAAGGGGTACCTTCAAAACGCGACACATCCATCAAATTTGGCTGTGGCTCAAAAACCGGTACCAACATGGGTTACCCTGGTAAGTGGAAACATAGACCAGACCCTGCGTAACCCCCTGTTTCATTTTGAGCCACACCCATTTGAGAAAAAAGCCCAGACCAGGTCCAGTTGCGGAAGAATATGTTTGTGATTTCCCCTGTTGGTTTTGAAGGGAAGCTATCACTACTGGACATGTGTGATACTTTTTGCACAAGACACCAGGAAGGCCAGGGGTCGGCTTCACCCAGTTTCCACCAGTTGCCGTCGACCGCCTTGAGGTGCTGCTGCAGGTCCTCGCTGGCTCCGTTCAGCGCGACCAGGCGCCAGCCCGGGCGCACACCGGCCTGGACGAGAGAAGGGGAGGTAAGATCCTTGCACAAGGTGACCTCCCTTGTGTTCTTTTGTGTTTTTGCCTTTTCTTCTCTTTTTTTTCTCTTTTGGGGAGGGGGGGGGGTGTAAAATTTAGATATAATTTGTGCCGGAATCGCAAGTTTCTATGTTTTCTATCCACTTTGCCCCAAAAACCAGCAACAGTGACTGATACAAGCAGCAACTTGGCTATCTAGGTGGAATCTACTTATGTCCAATCAAACTATCCCAAAGAGGACACCTATGGCCCCGTGAACGACTTTGCGTCAAGGATTGTTCCATGCGTGGTTCCAACCCTTTGAACCATAGCCATTTCCCAACCATCCCATCAGGTGGTTCCCATTTGTGTGCAGGCAAATGTTAATTCGTTGACCCCTGATGAATTTCAGCAAGTTTTAATAAGGGGGTCTTTCTGGAAAGCAATCCAACCACCAAAAAGGCCCTGACTAGTAGCGGGTTTAGTAATCAGGGGTCGGCATTAACTCACCTCCTGAGTGGATTGGCTAACAAAAGTACAAACTATCCGTTTACCACTAAAATTGTCCCAAAGAGTTGAAAGTCCAGAACTCAGGGGGTGAGGTTTTTCAGGGGTCAGCATTTACCACCTCCAATTGCTTAAGTGCCCTGGGAACATTATAACACATTTCCAGTAGTGATAGATTCCCTTCAAAACCAACAGGGGAAAATCACAAACAGATTCTTCAGCAAATGGGCGTGGCGTTGTTGAGACTACCCCTTTTTGGTGGCTTTAACGGGAAACCCGAGGAATACCCCCCTTTTTTGTGGTTTTCCGGGGAACCAAAAGGAACACCACCAATCTGTTAAAGGGTCCCCTATGACACAAATGACTGTGGGTCAAAACCCTGTACCCCTGGTGAGCATCAAAATAGGTGGCAAATGGATGCTCATCCACAAAATGGCGCCATAGGTTATGCCCCGTGACACAAATGGAAAACCATTCAGGTTCCCATTCATTTGCCACGCTTGCCGCTCCAAAGCGGCGAAAGCTTTCGCCTGCACGGCTGGCTTGTTCTCGGAGACCTTCAGCACCACGTAGCCCGGCCCTGGCCGGACGGGGCTGAGGCTGAGGTCTCCATGGCTTGTCGCGAGGAACACGTCCCCTCAAATGGGTCTCTGCTTTTTTAGGGAAACACCCCCCCAAAAAACAATAGGTAAATAAATAACAGTATGGAGGTTTTCCCATTATGGTTTCCGCTTCAAACCAGAGGACTTCGTTGCCTTCTTGTTTGGAGCTGTTTTAACAAAGGTCACTGGAGTGTCCCCTTCAGACGTTGCAGTTTAGTGGTCTTCCGCCACTTTGGGTTCAAAGGGAAATGGCTCGGAAATTTATGTTGAAAAACAGGTCAAAGAACAGGACTGTGCCCGCCGGGTTCCCCCCTAAGCCTTTGAGAACCCACATGAGCCACGATCAAAAGCACGGGACCCCCCGCTTTCTAAGGGAAACTACGGTGTGTCCCCAGGGGACCTGAAAGAAGTTGTGAGAAGGATCCCAAGACTTCCAAGGACCCAGTTGGACTGGTTTAGTGGAAAGACCCGTTGTTTGTGTCATCCTTTTAGGTGTCATTGTTTCGGGGTTAAACGGGCCAAACTGGACTCAACATGGATCAAGAAGATCAACACAGACGCAAGGATAGAAGGTCGGCGTTGGACAACTGAGAAAGAGGAAAGAGTCCATTTCTGTTGGTGCTTTAAAACGGTTCCCCAACCCAAAGAAACGACTAAGCAATGAACATTCATCATGGGCTTCAGGTCGCAAAACCAAGTTCCCGTTGCAAGGTCGCGGTGACCAATGAAGGGTGTTTCAACTTGGTATCAGAAAGCGGCCAATTCAACCCGAACCATTCTCCACAACGGGACCAGTGAGAAGGGTCATATCTCAAGAGCGACTTCCCTCGAGGTGTCAACTCAAAATCCAACCTTGTCAGGCAGAGCAACCTCTTGCCCCACACATCGGAAACAATCCTCCTAAGCTCTTGATTGGTACCCTCCCGCCCTGAGGGCCGGTATACCTCGTGAGTGAGTGCCGCCGTGACAATGTAGAGTGATGGATGGCGTTGTGAACGTCATACCAACGTGGAACTCAATATCCTTTGGTCTTGTATTCTGGCCTGGCCCAGTTTGCGTCGCCAACAGTAGCATCTTCAATTTAACCTACACACTCGAGCACTCCACTGCAGGTGTCTCAACCATGCGGTGTTCGGAGATTCTTCCGGAGCCCCCATGGGTGATACTTGTAGCAGTTGCTCCGACGAGGTACTTGGTTGTTGCAAATTGATTGGCGTATACACATCCCCTCAAATGGGTCTGTCTTTGTTTTAGGAGACCCCAAAATGGTGGCATTCCTTTTGGTCTCCCTTTCAAGCCACAAATGGGGTACCCTCATGTTTGGGAACACCCCGGAATGGCCATCTTCAATTGGAGGAATTCGCACTCGCCTTTGTCCTTGGCCCTTACGCCAATCAATGGCTCCAGCTGCAAGTTTCGTCCGGCGCCTAGGATTTCCATGACCAACGGCAGCAAACCCCTTTCCGCAGCACCGTAATTCCGACACCTCGTGTGCTTACTCCAGGTCTGGAAGTTTGGGGTGACCAATGCCATGAAGCACTCTCAATGACTAAGGCAGGTCTTCGGTAACAAAGAGAGAGCAGCATGTGAGTCTGGCTTCTTGAGGGCACCCATCTAGGGATGTTTGTATGGGTCACCTGTTGACAAACCCATATGTTCTTCCAGTGTGAAACTCCGCAGTGACAGAGCGCCTGCCCGCTTCCTTGCTTTCCAGGGGTTTGGAGGTTTCCAATTCCCGGAAAACTACCAGGCCAGAGTTGGAACGCTTCCACGCTTGTCTGACAAATAAGGCCTGAGTAATTCCATGATTAGTTAGGCTGGAAACCATGGTGGAGGAACTTCCATGGTTGCTTTGAACAACAAATAAGAAGATCCACCCAGCCGCGCCATTCAAGTACAATATTCTGCTTTAACGGAACGCCGTTCATTTCAACTAGAACCTGGGAACAGATCCGTTCATTTCAACTAGAACTTGGGAACAGATTAGTCCTCCGGAAAAAAATATATCTCCCATTTTGGAGGCACAACCGAACTGCAAATGTCTCTTTGCCGTTTCACCAGCAGCCCCCCCTCCCTCAGCCCCAGACTCCGACTCCCCAGACGCCTTTGGCCGCAGTCATGCCGAAGGGCCTCGAGGTGAAGCTCACCTGGCCCCCAATCATTTGCGACGGGAGGGCGTGTGGGGTGTGTCTGCCATTTTGCGGGATCACCAATGTTGTGTGTCTACCTTTATTTGTGGGTAAAATGTGGTGTGCTTTAAAGGGAAACAAACAAAAATTAAGCAATTTTGAGGGTTCGCTATCTTGAAACACACCCGTATGGCTGTCTCTCAGAAGCCCCAACATGGCTCCCTTGAAATGCCAAGCACACCGGGGTCCACGTTCGGAGAGCCCTATCTCTGTGGCATTCAAGCGCAAGGCAGAATTCCTTGTCTCCCAAAAAAACAACGGGAATGTGGGTTCCCCCACCCAATATCTTCCCAGTCGAACATGGGTGTGCGTTTTTGGGTGCCCTGACAGGGTATTTGGTCCTCCGCAATATCAGTCATGACTCCTCTCTTTGTCAAACCAGTGTTGCATTTTCTTCCGCCTCCCTTAAGGGTCAAAAGGCACGCCCAATCCTGGACCCGCATACTTGAGAACGCTTGGCAATGCCAAGGGTTGTCTTTTAAGACCTTCACGCGGTTGCTGCGGAAAAGCCCAGTTACCCCGTGAAAAGAGTGGAACCCACTGAACGGGAAACGGAGTGCGACCCTAATTCAAGCGTCCAGTCCACCCGCATTGCGACAGACGATCACTCAACACAGAAGTTCAACAACTCATTGGCTGACATGCTAGGCGATGTAATCAAAACCCGGAAGTCCAAAGCTCTACCCAAAATCAGATCGAAAACGCGGAGATCCGCGCCGTTTCTTCTGCTGTCCCTTGCCGAGCAGGGGAGTCCTGGAAAGGTTGTAACCCCTGGGTGTCTCTTGTTGAGGACAATGTGTTGTCCCTTTGGGGGGGGGGGGGGCGGGTTAAAGGGAAACCAAAAGAAAAACAACGAGTTGTGGGTGGTCTGCGAGTCGAATCAGCGTAAGAGCTTTACCTGCCGAAGCCTGGGGTGATACACGTTCTTCATATACCATATCATACACCCACCTTCTGATGTTGGCACGAAAGCTGGGGAGAGGTCACTTCAGCAAATGATGGTGAATGGATGCCTCTCAGAATGGCAGACTCCTTTGGGCTTGTTTTGTTTTTTACAAAGGGAAACCAAAAGGAAACCAACCATTTTGGACCACTATGCCACTATTTTGAGAACCCAAGCATTTACCGTCGCCCATATCAGAACCGCCACGCCTCCACCACCTCCGGCGCCGCCAGAGGCTCCTCTTCCGCTTTCGCCTCACCGGCGGCGGCTTTCCGCGCTGCGGCCTCCTCACGCTCACGCTGCTCCTCGGGCAAGCGGACAACTCCCCCAAAGGCTGCCCAAGGACTGCCCGTTTGCCCCAACAGTCCAGAAGTAGAGGCACTTTGGGGTACCATTTGATAACTCCACAAGCAAGCAGACTGCTTTGGTATTGGGTAGGCAAGGTGGCCCTGGCCTAGATCAGTGCGGAACGTCTGTCCGGTTCTTGGGCATCTAAAGTGGGCCGTGCCTGCGTCACTTTCGGATGTCCAGGGCAAGGACCACGATGCTTCACCCATATGTCAAAACTCGTCCTTCTTTGCAGCCGGATAAAAATGGAAACCGCAAAGCAAGAATCCCAAACAGCAGCCAGGGGAAAAAGGGGACCCTTTCTTTGATTCCCCTCCCCAAAAAACAGCAGAGAAAAGGGAGCAAACCACTAGGGATCTGGGGAAGGAAAGAAGCAAAAGCTTGCTTGTTAAAAAAATAAAGGAAGAGAAAAGCATTGGTCTTCTGACTGGGTGGGCCGGCCGCCTTGATAGGGCTTCAACATTTGGCCACACTTTACTCTTCAGCCGACTGAAAGCATTTATTGAACTCAACTCAAGCACACCGCGACCGGCACAAATGACGGAGCATATTCAAATCAGTTCGTGGTAACTGGGGACTCTGGAATTCACTGAAAGAAGCCCTAATCGGAACGCAAGGGAGGCTCAGAAGTGGTCCCTAAGGCGATGTTTAAAACAAATGGTGACCCCCCTGATAGGACTGGACCAGAGTAACGTGGTCAGTTGCTGACAGATTGGACCTTTAGTGCCGCAACAGCATGCAAAAGCCTGAACAGTTGTCCGAGGCGCTGGAGTCTCGGAGTCCTGAGATCCTAGACTTGGCAAGTGGTTGTCCTTTGTTCCCAGACCGACCTGAAGATCAAAAAGCACACTTTCAGATGATCCAGTCTCGTCCAAGACCGAAATATACCCCATGCACAAGCATGGAACCTCGCAGAAGGGTCGGCTATTTGCCTTCAAAAGGGACGGTGGCTTCCATGTTAGTCGCCAAAGGGTAAGGTAAAAATGGAGAGACCCCCAAAAAAGGCTAAGGAACGTTGGCAGAAACGTCACAGCCCGAAGTCCAAGCCGCACCTGCCCAGTAGTTATCAAGAGGCAATAATCTACCCTTCCTGGGATGGTGTTCGCTCGAGGTGTTTGATTCGGCACCACCATTCGTTTCTCACTTGCCCAAAGGACCTGGAAACAAAAGGTTAAGCTGTTGGCACCCTTACATGGCCAAAGTGGGAAAACCAAAAGGCTAAAAGGTCGGCTTCGGGCAAAGTGAGGTTTGTAGGAAGTTGTACGGGTTCTGCGCCACTCAGAACTTGACCGATGGCTCCCGAAACGGAGCGCTTACCGGTTGCCCTCTGAGCCAGCGGCGCGCTCCTCCGTGCACTTCTTGCAGACCTCAGTGGGTGGCAAACCTACGGCTGCACTTCCGACACTGCAACCATTTGGCTATGGGTCAAAATCCCGTACCAGTGAACATCCCAATCCCCACTAAAATAAACTAAAATGGGTGGTGCACCTACCCCAAAATGGTACCATTGGTGTTGACCTTTTGCCATTGCCCATTGTGCAGAGCAAACTGCAATGTTGAATCCTTCCAAGAAATCACCTTCCACCTATCCTCCCAGCATGAAAGCCCACTGCCAAGCCCCTATAGAGATCAACACGCAGCCAACCTGATCTGGACAAACCGTTGTTCACGCACCAAAATCAGGGAACCCTGCTGAAAGAAACCTCATCATGACGTTGCATCGCCCCCTCTCCTCCCGACAAGTGACGACGTCATCTTGCTTTTGCCCAAACCAACCCTATTCAGGTATCCCGAGTTTTGGCGCATAGATCCCAACCCCACGTCCGCATCGCAAGACCCTGGGTAGGACTTTCTATGGGACCAATTATGCTCTTAGTACCAACCTGTTCAGAATTTCAGGGCTGAAACAGGACGAAACTGGGAGTACGGCGGTTGCCAGGCTTCAGGATGCTCAAGGCCCACTCAAACGACTCAAAGCCGATCTGCACTTTTGTCCAACCAAACATTTCCCACGCTTTTCCAACAGGCCACGTTTGATCAGGGTGAAACTAGGTGGTGCAGCACTTGGGGCTGTTTGAAAGCAAAGTTCGAAAACCCCGTGCTCCCACTGATCTGTTGTGAGCAAACCATCCCAGACCCTTTTCTCGGTCCAGGTTTGGTTCTTGGGTTTTGGTTCTGGGGTTTCTCTAAAACTAAAGGTTCTACTTCAAGCAAGCCATCGGACAATGCTCGTCGCGGTTCTTGTGCGCTTTCCTGATTCAGCTCATCGGAGCTATCATAGACGTCAACCGTTGCGAGCTCTCGCCCGACGTCCTCTTGCTCGTCTTGACATGCACGAAGTTCTGCCCCGGGGCCCTGGAAGTCTCCCATCCACATTTCTTGTGCCTTTGCCCTCAACCAACATAATATCTTTGGTTCTGGCCCATGTTTACCAGAAAAACATAGGCAATTTATAGCATGTGACCAACCGGAGATAAGATTTGGACGGCGGCCCTGATGAAAAAACTTTCAGGTTGGGTGGCGTCGCAAAGTCGAAAGTGACGTTGCGTCATGATTTGCCCAGTCCTCCCTCTCACGATCATGGCGCTTGAAAGGGGGTCCCAAAACAAAACTGATCTCCCAGGTTTTTGCTTTTTTTCTTCAGGTGTTGTATGGGTGTCTTTTTGTTAGGCGCCCGTTTCCTTTTGGTTTCCCTTTATGACAACCAGAAAAAGGTGTACTTCGGTATACTGTCCAAAGACGAGCCGCCCACGTGGGAGGGGGGGACGTGAGATCCTCAGGCCCGGGCCCCCGAGAGATGCACCACGCTCTGGATCTCAGGGCCGGTGCGGATGTCCTGCGGCCGCACGGCTTGTCTCTCAAACGTAGGGAGCCCAAAAGGGCGTTCTTTTTTTGATTGGTTGTCCCTTGGGTTGGTTGGTTGGTTGGTTGGTTGGTTGGTTGGCTGGCTGGCTGGCTGGCTGGCTGGCTGGCTGGCTGGTTGGTTGGTTGGCTGGCTGGCTGGCTGGCTGGCTGGTTGGTTGGTTGGTTGGTTGGCTGGCTGGCTGGCTGGCTGGTTGGTTGGTTGGTTGGTTGGTTTTTCTTTGGGATTTACTTTAAAACCAACCAACCAAAGTTTCCCTAAGGGACACACGCTCCTCGTGTTTTTGTCACCTGGTTTCCACGACATCAGGGGCCCGCTTGAAAAAGAAAACGCCTCTGAAACCTGAGGCCAGCCAGTGCAGCATTTTGGGTGCCCAAAGTGCGTGCCATGACATGGCACCGTGCTCTTGGCAGCATTGGAAAGGAATCAGCCCCTATGGCCCTATGGTGGGTTTCCTTTTGGTTCTCTACCAACAAGAAGGGGGTGCGCGAAGGCCACTGGATTTCCCCCAAATCAATCCATTGAAACGAGAAAGCCACGTTTGGAGACATCCTTTAAAGGGAAATTGGTATGGGTCAAAATTAAACCACCAGGATCTTATTCCCTGCTTCCATTTACCAGGGCAACCCTTTTTGGGGGATTCCAATTGTTGACTCGGTTGAGAATCTCTCCGAAAGAATGGACGGATCCCCTCCACCGTGGCACCAGACGCAGGCCACGACTGGTTGATACCTTCCTGTGGTTCCCTCTAGTCAGCTTCACTCGAGTTGGTTGGATTGGTGGCTTGGTGGTTAAAGGGTTTCCCATTTGCCCTCTACAAACCACGAAGGGTTACCTGATCTGTACCGGCAACAAAGCAACCAATCCAAAAATAAACTGACTGACGCCAAAGCAATTGAAGGACTTAGAAGTTGCTCTAGCCTGGGTCTGCCCCCTGAGCCTCTTTCACACAATTCAGGCGAAAGAAAGACCACAGTCTTCTTGAAATGGCCGGCAGCTGTTCAATTTTCTTGGGAGCCAAAGCAACAAAACCTTTTCCAGGGTTCCCTGGAAAATAAAACTGCTTCCAACAATCAAATGTTTTCCAGAAAACAAATAGCTTTCCTCAAATGTTCCACAACCCCGTTATTCCACCCAGACTAAACGGGCAAAGCTTCCCAACAACAAGCCAGATTAATCCTGGAAGGCTCGGTACCGCATGGCAATCAAAGCTGGGGATGAAATCAAAACGCAGCACCGAAAAAAGGATCACACTTCTGTTTTGGTTTGCCTCTGATCATCGGTTTGCGTTGGAGGTGTTCGGGGCTGGTTCCTGCTTACCCACTAGAACCAGCTCAAACCCCCAAAGCAGTCCAAACCATTTAGGGTGACCTGACTGTAGAACCAGGGGTTCAAATCCCCAAACCAAGCTAAGCCATGTAGCGGAAGCCTGGCAGAAGAACCAGAAGTTTAAATCCCCAAGCCAAGCTAAACCATGTAGGGTAAGCCTGACTCAAGAACCACCGCACCTGCGCTCACACAAAGACCTGGTCCTGGTCTTTGATGTTTTTCAGCGACTCTAGGGCCCTCTCCACCTGCGGAAGCATCCAACACCCAAAATGGCGTAAAACGTTCACGGGTAACCAAACAACGGCAACGAAGCCGGAAAAAAGGAAGCCACAAAAGGGGAACACTGACAAAACAAATATATTGGACCCAGCTGGCATGTCTTAACGCACCTTGGTTAAGTTCCCACCAAATGATCTGTTGGCAATACAGGTTTGCCTCCAATTGGGGAAACCTCCAACTGGGTAGCCCATTGCTTTGCCTGTAATCCAAACAAGGGCGCCTTTAAATATACGCACACACCAAACGAATACAGAATGGAACAAAAACAACAAACAGAATCAACCACGAACAGCGCACAAAAGTGGGAGCTGCTCAATGCTGGGGAGTTGCCAGGCTGTTCACGTTAGTTTTGCGTCGGGCAATTTCCCTAGCTATACTTCTGACTTCCAGAAGAGAAGGGGGAGCTTGACCTACCAGCAGAGACAGGGTGTTATTAGGCCCCGTGCTGGAGAGTTGACTGTGAGACGCACAGGGTGGGACAAGGGCGACGGCGTAAATTTGGAGGGAAGACGCTGCAGGTTTTGCAGGGTGCTTGTTGCTCAGGCCGTTGGATGCAAGTCTGTTGGGTGTTTTGGCAGGTTTTGGCGTAATTACTCTTGTGAAGTTCTGGCGAGCGTGACCAAGAGTTGCGTGGGTCTTCTACTTGCAGCATTCATGATTGTCAAACACTACAATTCTTGCTTCCTGGAGTCTATGCTGGCGTCGTTCTGTCGCACCTGTTGGCTGCTCTTGTTCCTGTTGGTGGTCTCCCGATGGTTTCTTTGCATCACCATCAACATCTAGTTTTTACAGGGTCTGCCCAGAGCCATGTAAAGGACTAAAAGGCAGCCACACCTATTCATGGCTATGAACGCCCCCTCCTAACCTTCATCTATCCAGGTTTTGACAGTGATTGTTTGTGCCTTCCAATGTGAACTGAACATCCAAGTGGCTTCCACTCCTCAAACATTTTTTCCCGTGGGGTGACTGACGCCTCCGGCTAATGATCAACCAACGCAAGGGAGGCAGCGCTGTTGAAACACATGCTTACTGACACTCACCATGGCGCTTGGCTAATTGACTGAAAGAGTCAAGGACAACCTTGGGCAGTCCAAAGGCATGAAGGACTGCTGCCAGCTGCCGGGCGGCAGTTTGGAAACCTCTGAAGGAATGAAGAACTGGTCTCCGTCTCCTCGAACGCAACATGATGGTGCTCTCTCCTCTGGAGCTGGAGCATGTCATGTTCGCAGAGTGGACAGGCAACTAAAGCACTCATAAGGTGATTGTTCGCCAAAGCATTAAAAAGTCAAGCCTGTCATGGATAGAAACTAGTTCCTTGGTGCTCCTGCAGAAGAAACCAAAGAACAGCAACCTTTGAGGTGGTTCCAATTCTTTGTTGTTTTTCGCCAACTCACTTTCCCCACAAGCAACGAGTCAAACCGACTTTTCTTCTTGCCTTTCCCTTCAACTCAACCCCCAAACGGACCTCTCGCACCTCTCGCACCTCTCGCACTTCACCTCTCGCTTTCTCGCTCCAACCCGCAAGCCAGCGCCTGCTTCCTGGAGAACTCGGAGGCTGGCAGGCGCTGGCGCCCGCACTGCACGCAGCTGAAGTCCCCGGCCTCCAAAAACGTGGTTTCGGCCGGCCGCGAGGAACGAGTGGAGCGCTGGGGGTGCTGGTTGTCCCCAAAATGGCTTGGTCTGGTAAATGGAAAGGACTGAAACCTGCGGTCCATATCCTCGCGGTTTGATTTTGATGCAGCTTCCCTCGTTCTTTTGGGTGGTTTTGGAGCCCGGCTTGGATTGGATAGGGGGTTTCCAACTAAACCCTGTAGAACCAGGGGTTCAAATCCCCAAGCCGCCAATGCAAGCCGTAATCTGAGTTTGGATGAAGTTTTGAAGGGAAACGCAAAGAAAACAAACGCTTTCCGCAGCGCATGGACGGGTCCTTTTGATTTACTTTTTGTTAGAAGCCCCCAAAAAGGGTACCGAGACTCCTAAGATAAGGCCGGTCACCGGTGGGGCGTCATGACAAAATGCCATGTGCACAATTCGCCCCCGGTCATCGTTTAAAGGTTGGGAGAACGCCCTGCAGGGGGCCCGAAAATGTTGGTTTTGCGTATCAAAGGAACCCATCCACAATGGCCTTTTTAAATAAACGGTCCTTTTGCGGCACCTTCTTTTCGGGCAGTTTGGCGTACCTGCAAGAGAAGAGTTTTACGCTGGGCCAACCATTTTCTCAATAAGGCCGGCATGTTTCCAAACTTGCCATGGTTAGAACTTGCGACATGTGGGCCATATTGACATGTCTGCTTCAAAGCAACCCTTATGATGGTTGTCGAAAACTGCCTAGGGGCATCTATCATCATCCTTGTCCATGAGCAAGGGCCCTTCATTATGGGAGCCATAACCTATCATGTTCAAAGCTGGAGGCCATGACAAACATGTTGAAAGGTCGGCTTCGAAGAACTGAGCAACTCGTCCCAGACAAGTCTGAGCCGCCGTGCGCTCCGCTGCCAGTCCGTGCTCACGTCCTCGCTCTTTGCCTCATCAAAAGCGCAGTGTGGTTTTCGTCAAAAGAGAATCATCGTCACCAACCGTCCGGGAGAAGCATAGGATGAATTGGTGGGTACTCCACTCACCCCTTCTTTTCTTCCCAAGAATCCGCAAACCTGGCGCTCCCTCTCTCTCTCTCTCTCTCTCTTTCTCTGCTCAACCAGCAAGCTCAACCCGAAACGGGTGTCTTCTGGGTTGCCAGCCCGTGGAAAAAGGGAGCGTTGAAGAAACCGAGAATCGATGTGTGAGTTATGTTCGACTACCCAAAACCGGAAACCGAAAGATGAACGGGTCGAAGGTCGATTCGCAGGGTGAGAAACGTAAAGCCCATTGGACGGATCAATCTGAACTGAAGTGAGCTAAGCCACGTAGGGGGGGTGAAATGAATCATGTGCAGCATTCAGGTGCTTCTTGTTGGGTATCCTTTGTGAGATTGCTTTAAATGGAAACAAAAAGACCACCCACCATGTTTTGGGTCTCTTACTTTTCACCAGCCATTTCAGGGTTCCACGTTTGTTTCTCCCGAGGTCGATGGAAAAACGCAAAGGGTACCCAGAAAAGGGTCTACCCGAGCCACTCCAGAGGACTTCAGAAAACAGACATGAACGGACAGCTCTTTGGACAAATCGATGGGTTCCCCCGTGGGTTTTACGGATGGCATAGTACCCTTCCAAACCAATGGAACGCCAATGGAACGCATCGATTTCTCACTAAACTAACCGATCAAAAGGAAAGAGTTGACATCCCCAAACCTGGGCCAGGCTGACCCGACCGGCAAAAAGTGTTAGCTTGGTGCTGGTTTAAAGGGAATCTGGTGGAAACATGCAGAAAACTAAACAGGGGAAAAGTCAGAAAGGGGAAAGTCTGGCAATGAAACCATCCAACCTGCTCATCTGGGCGTTTGTCACAGCCGAGCCCTTGCGACAAGTCTTGCAACAATTGCCAGTTCTCGTGAGTAACAATCAGCTGCAGGTAAAACTAGCACCCTTGTGGAGATTTCAACCAGGAAATTGGATTCTGGCTCAAGGAGTTTTGTCCATGCGTGCTTGTGTCAAAATAGCTCCCCCCCCCCCCAAACAAGAAGAAATGGGTGCACCGGTGTCCCTTTCGTTTCGCTTTAAACCCCAGGTGTTAGCAACACAGGACGGCATGGGAAGCCTTTCCGGGCGCATGCGTACCCCAAAGACAAGTGGGCCAAACAAATTTGCAGCGCCACGCCTAAGGTTTCGGCGTCCAAACCGTTGTTTTTCTCAGTTTCCCGATGGGGGAAGGCTAGGTCCGCCTAAGCATCCGGGCTTCAAGCTCTGATTGATGTAGTCTGTGTCAGATCTGGAAGTCCATTGGTTTCCTCTCTTTCTGAAAATGGAGTATGGGTAACTTGGCACCCGTCCCCTGGGTTTAGTGGGGAATCACCACCTTCGGTTCGGAACAGCCCCCAATTAATAAACTGGGATTGATTAACATGGTGTATATGGGGTCAACATTAATTAGCCCGAATTCTGATTCCAGGCATTGTGAGGCTTCGCTATCCGTCGGGAAGCAACTGCTGCGATACCGAAAAAGCCCGCAAACAGCGGATCTGGGCCGCCGAACCATGCTGCGAAGCAGTGACTGCCGAAAATGATTGTCTGATGTGTCGTGGATCTACCATAATTTGTGTTATGATTGTTTCATGTGTCGTGTGTGTCTTATGCGTTGTTTGTGATGGCGCTGCAAAACAATCGCCTTGTATTGCTTACAGGGCCTGGAGGTTAAAATGTGATTCGATTCCACGGCATTTTGGAGAAGCGATAATATTGGTTTGACCAGCCAAGTGGTTCAAATCCTTGCGCAGCTATTGTCGGCAAAGCTTGGCCCGCAGTCTACCAACCTTTAAACAACTACAGTATAAACTTCCTTTTGCTCAAGCCCCTGGAAGAATACACATGCTTTACAGTCCTTACAGATTCTCGTTGAAACCAAAAGGGTAAAATAAACACATCGTCTCAAACCAATGAAAGCACATTTGGACCTGCCTGTTTTTGTGGGTCCCTTTTTGGTAAGGGAATCCAAAGGGACCAAAATCCATGGTGCGTGCATCCTTGAGCCCTGCAGCTGGGGAAATGATCGCAGCCCGACAGACATGCCCCTACTTGCGGGTCCATTGACTTCCCAGTCCTGCCAACAAAAGAGCAAGCAACTATTCTTATGTGCAGCCCCCAAAGTGAAAATGAACGAAATGACGGAAGCAAATAGCCTTCCAACGTTGCTGTATGTACTGGACAACTCAGTTCGGATACTGTTTTTGAAACCAATGAGTCCCGACTTCCATGTGACGACTTTTTGCCGGTTCGACCCCTTGCTTCACTGTTCCGACACCAGTTCACGATTCCGAGCCATATTTTCTTAGCCAGGCCCCTACAGTTCTCCAGCGGAGTGAGAAATGGAACGGCCCCGGGAAAAACCATTCCCGTGGCTTCCTTTAAGGGAATCTAGGTTCATTCCCACCCGGAGCAGGTCATTCCCTACCTATCGCGCCAGCAGGATGTTTCAGACTCCAGGTTGCGTCACCTTGCCCCTAATTGGTGGTTTGGTTTGGTGGTGGTTAGCGTTATGCCACACGTTATGATCTATTGAGATGTGGTGCTTGGGGGTGGCCCACGCGGGAAAGGTGGGTGGAGTGGTGCTGCACGTGTGGCGCTCTCGCTGGCAGCCGACAAAGGGAGTTTCTGATGACAAACCCCTGAAGGCGAAATTGCAGACGGCTAGTGGAACTGCGATATCTACTGCGGGAGTTTCAGACCGGCCACGTCCTGTCGTTGGGTAGATAGGTTGAACTTCGAGTCCAGTCGGTCCAAGACCTTTTGAGTCATCCCCAGCGAGATGTTTCTCTTGTTTGCTTTGGAGCAAACCACAATCAGGCAAGCCTGAGTTGGTGCTTTGGATTGGTGGTTTGGGGACTTGAACCCCTGTACCTTTTGAAGCCAAATGGGGAAGGTACCCCTACCCTCAAATAGTAGGTTTCCGTGTTGTTCCTCACTTTGTGAGAGGACTGATCAGAACAGGTCAAAAGGCATTTTGTCTAAAAGTGTCTTCCCCCCCAAAAAAACAAAACAAAAAAGCTCACCAACTGACACAAAGTAACTGGGTAGGTGAGCCTTCAAAATCAAACCAAAAGCGCATTCTCCAGAAAGTGCACCGATGTTTATCAGTGTACTGACCATTTCCTTCTAAAGCCAACTGAACGGCGCTCAAAACGTCCTGTTCAAGAATGGTTCTCCCCAGTAACTGGGTGCTAACTGAACAGGCGGTCTGGGGGAAGAAGAGTGCCCTTTTGCCCTCCATTTGGGGAACTTAACAAACGTGGGCGATCAATCACCCAGGAACGTGACTACGCCCATCTTTTGGTCGCCTGCGCCGGCTCTCAGTCATCAACGTTCCGCCCGCTGGCGAATTTGTTTTTCTATTCGGCGGAGGGCCGGTAGCGGTGTCTTGACCCTGAGCTTGTCCAGCGCGATGGCCAAAACTCCGGGTAAATCCGGGGGGACGCTGTTTTTGTCGTCGATCTCTAAGCTTCCGTTGCTCAAGCCCCCCCCCGAAAAAAATATTTAAAAAAATCTCGTAGTGACGAATTCCCTCTAAACCAAAAGGGGAAAATAACACATAACACATATTCTTAAGCAAATCGCAGTAAACTGTATAAACCAACTGGTATGGTCCAAAACAGGGGGGTTGGGAACGCAGGGACGCGACAATTGTGGGAATGATTGATCCTTGATATGTCTTCAGTTTGTATGTCCGCAACAAAAAACCCACCGACCCTCTCCGCAGGTAAAAAGTCTCATGCAGCACATGCGCTACAAATCAATGCCACAATGCCGGCGGCACTGGGGATCGAATTCTTGTCAGGGCCTTGGACAAATGAGCCAACAAATGTTTCCCCCAGGATGGGAAAATTAGAGCTCGTCTCTCCAGTTTTGTGAGAATTTCAGTGAGTTCCCCCCTTTGGCCCTCCTGCCTTTGACTAAACCTCAATTGGCATGCACTGACTCAATTCTGCTAACCAAAGTTGACCAGGGTTGTGGAGGTCCCAAACCCCGACTTAGCACTCCGAATGGAAACCCATTTGACCAATCAACCCCTTGCAATGCATATCCCAGACCTCCATTTAAGAGATTCAGAGCACTTTTGGAAATGCCTTGTATGAATCCGCAACACATGTCTTAGGATCAGGGTTCAGAGGAGTTTGTCCATGCACAGCGCAAAGTAATGTTCCCAAACCAAGGTCATGTTGGTCACACCCTAGGCGCAATCAAGTTGCAGTGCACCCAAGCCGGACCTGAGGTGTCTTTTGAAAAGCATCCACTGGTAAATCATTGGGGCCAAGCTGAAACCGGTCTCTTTTCACCAAAAGGCAGACCTCCTAAAGGGCGTGCACACCCAAAAGGAATATCTACAGACATGTACAGTGTCGTTTGGTTGGGGGACCCTTTTTGTGCGGCTGCTTCAAAAGGGACACCAAGCTGGGTACCCAGTGAGCTCTGGCAGAGCAGGCAAGACAGAATCCAGTCTGTCCAAGGATAACTCTAAGGGAAGACACCCTATGTAGTCACAACCAAAACCAGCTTCAAACGAATCTAGCCGAGCCCTTGGCGGGGCGGACCTTAGCCTCCGGCTCACATCGACCCGAACCATCACTTCGTAACGCCGCCACGCCAAAACCCAGCCCAGCCCCAAACCCAAAACCTTTCATTTGCGTAAGTCCCCAGAAAAAAAAAAAGAGGAACAAACACTGTAGTCATAGATTCCCTTGAAGACCAACAAGGGCAAACAACAAATATTTGTTTAGCAAATGGAAGAAACCTAAACCCAGCCCCAAACAAACCACCCACCCACCCCGCTCCCTTCGAGCGCTGAGCGCCGTGCGAGCGCTGGGCCGCCTTCAGCTGGCGCTCGTGCTCCGCCAGACGCTCCGCGAGCTCGCGCCTCGTTTTCAAGACGAGAGGAGAAAACCCTCCGGAAATTTGCCGGGGGGGGGGGGGGAAGGAGGGTTTACTCACCAACTTCCCAAACGAAACCCTCAGCCCAGATTCTGAGAAAACAAGGGAATACCGTACTGCAAACCCTTCCCAATCGGCAAACAAAAGGCGTCACTCGGCTGTCCGACCAATCCCAAAGCTAAAGTTCGAGGCGAAAATGGGCTTGTGCCTGGGATTCTGCGAGGGAAACCGAAAGCCTAGTACAAGAACTGGTAGAAAACGCCCTGAAGAACTGAATCAATTAGAATGCGGGGTTGGGCTACCAACCAAAAAGGCAGATTGCAGGTTACCATGGCCTTCAGTTTGCTCCAACCAAAATGCTCGCCAACTTGACTCGGAAAATGCCATGAGGAAGCCAACGGCCCAGGAATTCCCACACACCTTATCGAAGGGGTTTTGGCGGGACGTCGGTGAGCCTTTCTCGGCACTGCGGGAAGCTGGCAAGAGACTCCCAACAGCGCCCTAGGTGACATGCGTAAAACCACCCCCTTTGAGGAATAGAGCGGGAGTTTTTGGCTGAGGCCAAGGCCGATCTGAAGCAGATGTTATCCGGAAAAGTCTGTGATAGTTCGCAACCCAAAAAGGTGCCTTTTTTAGGGGACCCCCCAAAAAAACAAAAGACTTCAAACAAGAATGGTGGGTCTTCCTTTGGCGTCCCTTCAAAATCGCCGGAAAATGCATCCTCAAAAAAAGACACATCCAAAAGGGCTCAATAAGAAAGGGACCATCATTGAGTCGCACCCGCGGTGAGCTCGCTATGACATAATGGTATTCCTGCCGGCGATTTTACGGCGACGTCCTGACGACACGAATGGCGATACTTGCGACGGCAATGGTCATGGCAATGGTGGTTGTGAAGCTGGTGATGACGAATACCCTTGTGCTCGGTCCATCCTCAAGATTGCCACATGCCCTCCGCGTGACTTCAAGGCAACCACAGCCCCACCGCCCCACCGCCCCCCCCCACCCCCCCGAACTTGCGGGTGTTGACTTTTTGCCGATGCGGACCGAGTCCCCTGCAGCTCAGGGCTGGTGTCACCTCTGGCCCGGCGTGAGGAACCTATTCACCCAGACATACCCAGATGCCAGGGGAAGAAACCGGCTCCCTGTTTTGTGGGCAAACGTCAAAGGGACAGCTGCAAAAAAGTAGAAGTATCGCCACGGGAGGACTGGATAAACATTGGGTTTCGTTTTGGCTTCCCTTCGATCCCGTCCAAAGTTCCAGAAATGATGACTCACGACACCAGTCACAAGCCCTGGAGGGCAACAAAGGTACACAAAACCAGCTCCCACAAATGGACGTGGAACCCAAAACGGGCAAAACAGAGCCCTCTAAAACCGTTGTTCCATATCAATGTGCAGGCGTGGAAGGCAAGAGACCCGACCCAAAAGCATTCGCAATGTGTTGTTTAAAAGAAAATGGATCCTTGAATACCGACGTGTGCCACTGCACGAGGGATTCCACGGGTATCACAGAAAATGGAATTCCAGAAGCCTCATTTCCCCCAACCCTACCTTCACCTGTACGAGCGACGAGCCTCCCTTGCCGTGACCTAACTCAGGGGAAGTTCGAGGTAGAATGAACGTCTGAGCCATGAGCGACCAACATGTGGGTAATGATGAAGGCGTGCGTCGGAGGACACCCTTAACAATGGTTGTCTTAATTCTGTGCCAGGGATTGATGACCATCCCTACTTGTCATGACTGGAGCCAGCCCCTCTTTTGAAATAGGCCTTCAATTCTTTGTTTCACTTTTAGTCGCCAGTAGAAACTTCCCACTCTCTTGTGTCATGTACACTAGCAAACAACTTTGTTCTTTGCAGTCGCACAAAAACAACATCGACGTTGAAACAACGCATGCCGAGCCACAAAGACACGGGAAGAACAGGCAATGCCCCCAGCATCCCCCAAGGCTGCACAGAGCTAGCTTAGCCTGAGCCCGGAACGCCAGGTCGGCCTTAGATGCCAAGAATCTGAGATCAGCGCAAATGATAAATCACATATCGGAAACAAGGAAACCCCCAATTCAAGAACCTTCATGGGTGAGCTCGTGTTACCCCGAGAGCTCGCGGTGTCCCATGCCTTGCGAAAATCAGTTCGGTCTTCAAATAGCAAGATGCTCCAAAGTGGCTTTTCGTGCTACCCACGATGCCGGAAATTGTGCTTTTCCTCTCAGCTTCCCATTAAAGCCACAAACACACAGTATCCTCAAAACAAGACACGCCCATACGCCTTGTTGGCAACGAACAAGGCAAGAGCACAGGGGATCCCTTGTCGCTTCATCATCTTCCCTGGACTTTGGGTCGGGGTCAGAAGGTGTTAACCCTGCCCGTGTTTTCTTCCCCCCTGTTCAAAATGGAGAGCTTGCCCGCCCGAATCCATAAAGCCACAAAGGGATCGCCCAAAAGAATTGCCCAAGTTGGAAACCCCAAGAAGACTTGCCGGTGCTCGGCAGAGAATTACACATGACCCCTATAAGCCATCCCTTGTGGTCTCCTTTCAGGGGACTTTGGGCTCATTCCCACATTTCCTTATCGCAGCAGCAAGAAGAACAGCCAAGTCAAGTGTGGTTTTCCCTCGCAAGCCCTTGGGACTCCTGTGGCGCATGCGTCAACCTTCCAATATCGGAGACCCCCGGATCTCCGGATCTCTGGGACCAGAGCGTTGGATCCAGGCGCGCGCCACCGGCCAAACCGGCCTGGAGACAAACTCCAACAGCTGGCGTCTCAGATGGCGAGTGCCCAAAACATTTTGGTTTGGGCTCCGGTGGAAGTCATGTCATGTCTTTAACCTGGCCTTGTTCGTGGCCTTGAAGGGAAACCAAAGGAAACCAGCCGTTTTGGGGGCAACGTTCATTAGATCCAAAGGGGAAGCGATGTGATGCCCATTTTGGGTTAGCTCGGATGCCCGAATTGACCTTCAAACCATACCCCGTTGTCGGTGTGTTCTGAAGAAAAAGGGTTCCGCGCAACAGTGCCCAGGTGGTATCCCAACAGCAACCCGGCTGATTTCCTTCCGGAATCCCAACCTGGAGCTGCTCTGAACAGATCGCAAAGCTTGCAGCTGTGCGGGGGGAAAAATGACGGCTTGCTTTCGGTTTCTGAATTGGTCAGCCGAAACGCTGACGAACCCTTGCGCACTTCTGTAAGCTGGCGACCCCCAAACCACTGCCGAAGTTCAATGGGATACACAACCACCATGCAGTCAATTCTGGGGCATACACCCTGGAGGAACTTTTCCCCTGGAAGATTGGGAGCCATGGACTCTTGCGAGAGACATTGGGGTTCAGTCCACCCTCGCCCTTGGAGCTACGACGTCCAATCATTTCGGGGCTCCGAATCCAACTTGAAGTTTGCCTCTTCCGCTTTTGTCCCGTAGGAGTTCTCTGGATGTGGTGGAGTTGGATGGCCAAATCCCCCTTGGTTTTTGTTGGGGGGGGAGGGTATCTTCAGACCATGGATGGTTGCGAAATCCCTTCGCACCAACTTGGAAACCATGGTTGAAACCATAGGACACGTTGGCATTTGCAGGGGAAACATCATTCCAGGGTGTCTGAACGGTGGTGCGAAATGGCACAGGGGGGGGGGGAAAAGACAAAACATCTGGAGAATCCCTGGTTCCGGCCCTCCCCGACCCATTCCACTGATCTGCTTTCCCTTTCTTCGCCCCCCGACGTGCTCGGACAGGCGCAGCTCGAAGAAGCGTTTGTTTTCCTCGCACCTGGCGCAGCCACGAGCCGCGGCTGCGAAATCTCCGGGGATGCCCCACAATGGACATGAGAAAAATGCGTGATCCCCCCCACCACGCTGATTCTTGTGGTTGACATTCGGTGTCCCTGAAATGCTGGCCAAACACACGGGGGGTGGTGTCTCCAAGCGGAAGCCAAACAAGAGGGCAGCGGGCCGTTAAATTCATCTGGAATCAGGGTCAACCCCGAAAACCCTCCGAGCATGGGCTTGGCAGAGAAAACGGATGCAAGTTACTATCACTCACACACACGCACACTTACATGACAAGCGGAATCTCCAGGAAAGGAGCCTTAGGTTTTCCGTCGCAAACCTATTTGCCCAGATCATGAGAAATGCCGTTCGGTTTGATAAAGCGAGAGGCTCCAGCGAAATCCCCCCCCCCCCATTTTCTCGAGCAGAACGAACGAAGGTCGGTGGGCTTACCTACGATGTGGGTCTGTCTCTCAAAGTATTTGCCGGGACTAAACTTGGTCCAAGTTGTGCACTTGGAGGTCCCATCGCCTTGCTATTTGAGAATGGGATCTCGGTACAAGGGCCAGAAAGGGTGCCCCCAAAACCATCCTTTATTTGGCTTGGAGGGCACGTGGGCATGGGTCAAACTAGGGGGATTCCAAAAATCGTAGTGGTCCTGTTGGTTTCCCTTCAACCAAGGTGAAAAGGGTACCCTCAAAATACAAACACACACACACAGACACACAGACACAGACACAGACACAGACACAGATACAGACACAGACACAGACACAGACACAGACACAGACACAGACACAGACACAGACACAGACACAGACACAGACACAGACACAGACACACACACACACACAGAGGCTTATTTCGGGTATGTCAGTATCTTGCAGGGAGATTTACAATCAAGTGCCAATTCGCGACATAAACCCTAGCAAACAACCGCACGTGATTGATCCATTCAGCTATGTCGAGAATGATGTTTGCTGGATGCCTGGCGCTTGCGCCCAAAGCGAAGGATCTTGAGCGGAGCACCCACTGATCAACCAATGAAACAACTGACACTGAGCTACCAGGCTCCCAAACTACTGCCAAGGTCACATGCTTCATGCGGCGGCTGGGGTATGCTCCACTAGCTCACAGACACACATACTCACATACATGAGTACCAAAGTGCTCCAAACGGGAAAAAACAAGATCCATGATCCAGAGTGCAAGCGGCAAAAAGTGAAACCTACTCACATACGCGAGCACCAATGCACAAGCACCACAAGCGCAAACAATACACACGGGCAACTAAACACAAGCACCACAAATACAAAACAGACCATAGCACTAAAACACAAAGCACTACACAAGACACGAAAGCAAACAGGCATACACAAGCACCAACAACGCCACGACACACACACACACAGGAGTGCCGAACATACAACACAAGCACCCAACCACTCCCTGAACACAAGGTGCTCGCATGCCCGTGCTTCCCAGATGTCGCCATTCCCGTTTCCCCGGCGCACACGCGCACGGCCACCGCTTTCTCAGACTGGAGCTGAGCGACCTTGCAGTGTCCGCTCTGTGTTCTGCAGAGGTATCAGGCTACAAGTTGCGCAGGTATCGCAACAAGGGAAAGCAAGCAGGCAAGCAAGCGAATAATAAATAGACAACCCAAACACCAAGATATTATATAACAAATTCTGATTACACCAGCATAGACCCCAAATAGCGAAAAACTGGCAAATCATTGCACACCAGCACCTCTAACAGCATCCCCCCAAGAGCGCCCCAAACAGCACCCCCAGAGCACCCGGCCGTAAATCTCGCAAAAATGCGCCCGCACAGTCGCCAGCACCTCAAACAGCACTCCAAACGCAAGCACCCCCAAACAGCACCTCACAAACAGCACCTGCGCCAGTACGCGAAACTGCCGCCCCCTAGCACCCAGCTGTGAATCTTGCAAATCACTTCCCCCTCTTTATTTAGAACCCCTATAGCTTTCAGCTAGCTGGGGAATGAATGATGAATAAATATACAAGAAAAACAAGCAAGCAAAACAATCTTCTACTGGACACTATGCCAAACAATGTGAGACAGCTTTCATGTGAGAAATATGGGATTCTGTTACCTTGGCGGGATACATCGGGTGTCTGCATTTTCTGCTTTCCACTTCTTCGCTTGAAGTTTGCGGTTGACACCGGAAATACATTCGGAATTATGCCCACCAACTACGCTTGAGGGTGTTCAAACCAAAACAAAACATCGGTCTGTCCGTGCATGCAAAGAGGCCTGCGCACAAACAAATAAATGTGAGTGCCTCCCCCCACCTCCAAAGACGACTGAACAGTGGCTAACACCCCAGGCTGTAACGGTTCAAAAGGATGGCTGCGCTGTTTCAACGTCTTAATCCTTGGGATATCGTCCAAAGCTACCTTCTTTGCAGACCCCAACAAGACATGAGCACAGCCCACAAAAACCAAACACCGACAAGATAATGTTACACACACACAACACACGCCAAAGCAACTAAGACCAAAGCCGCACTTCTAAGTGGCTTGCACAAAAGGTCAATCGCGTCATAACGTTGCTTCTGGTAAAATGGACCTCATCTTGATCCCCCATTAGGCGGAACATTCCTGAAAATGGACCCCCTTGATTGTGGACCCCTGTATCTGGAAACACGGAATTATTCACCAACCTGAAAGGGACCTCCAAAGAGAAGAATTGATCACCAAGTGTACTACCTCTGGAAACCTAGTCAGCCCTCTTTCAAAAGTGTAGGACATTGCGTCAGTTCCACGTGTTCCTCACAAGTCACTTTATGTGGCAAGTGAGATCGGTACGGGGCTGTCTCTAAGCCAAGCCCTCAATGACCCAAGCCACGCCCCTTGAGGGCGGAAGGCGTTGGGAAAGCGGGGAGAGGCAAACCCATGGTTGTCAACCTCCCAAAGACTTAAAGAGGGAGCCCCGAAAAAAATGACATTGGGATTCGGGGACTTGGCCGCCAATAGGGGCTCTTGATACATCATGCACTCATGCCTTGGTATGTGCACTGCCTTTGGTCGCCCAACGTGACATGTACCCTCACACTAAGGAACATCAAGTCGCACTCCCTTTCCAATGCGAAACATGTCTTTAGGGGGGGCCACCAAAACATTGGCATCCAAGCTCTCCAGTCCAGGCCCATCTCTCTGTGAACTATCACCAACTGACAAGGAATCTGAACCCCTAAGGAACCGAAGTGAAATCGGAGGTCACAGTTTCAATTGGACATGTTTGGCTTTTGGCTTTTGCATTTTGTGTCCCAGCTCAGCTCAGTTCATCTCTCCGGAAAAACGGCGCTCTCCCAATTCCAGATATTACTAGTCTTCCCCACAACAGCAAAATGGGGCCATCATCTCCAGGGTCGAATCCCCCGATCATTGTTGCGGCCCGCTGGGGTTTGGGTGTTTTTGAAGGTTCCCCTCTTGTAGATGCTTTGAAGGACGGGAGACCGCTGGGGTCCCCTTTCTGCCAAGGCACATCCACGCGGATGCTGCGGACGATATCTAGTGAACCCGAAAACGTACAATGACAGTCAACAAAGGTCGCAGTCTGCTCAACCTGATCATATTGAGGGCGTGGGGGCTCTTCCTGTTCGGCAAATTGTGTCTTCTCAAGATCCAACAAGTGCAAAGAAAGCCAGGATTCATCCGTGCCTGCCCGGTTCTTCCTGGGCGTCCCTTGCTTTCTTGGAGTACTCCCGGCACTTGTTGTGCTTTTCTTGGAGCTGCACTTTCGCCTCGAGCGGTCCCCATACAGCCATTTGAGTCCTCAGAAGTATCTTCTAAAAGGAAGGTGGTTTTGAGGGAAATCGGGACCCAAATGTATGTTTGAGAAAGACTTGCTCAACGACCGGTTCGTAGGTGGTTTCTCCCAGACTGCATAGGGTTTAATCCGTCTGACAAAGGATGAATATATATATATATATATATATATTAATATATATATATATACATACATATGCATGTTGCATGTGTATGTGTGTATGTGTGTGTGTGTGTGTGTCCAAAACCTGGTGACCGGCTGGCACAGGTTGTTGAGGGGATTTCTCAGAAAGAAACCGTCCTGTTTGCAAGTCCAAACCCTTTCGAAAACAGCCAGAGTTTCAGCACCTGAGAATGAATTTACGCGCCAAAACAGCTTCCTGCAGCACCTACAAACATGTTCGGGTTGCCAGGTTTCCCCATCCGAGTCCGTTGCCCCGAATGCGTCGAAGAATTGTACGCTGACGACGCCAAACAAATCTCCAGGAAACTTCCTGAGGCCCGAAATCCGTGGATATGGAATGTCGACACTACTTGTCTTGCAAGAGGTTGGATGAGATTTGCCCAACCGAATCATGATGCAAACCTGAGCAACCATTTGGGTGTGTCTTTTTTTAGGGAACCCCGCCCCAAGAACAAAAGAAGAGAGAGGGGGCGTTCCTTTTGGTTCCCTTTGAAAGCACAAAAAACGAGTGTCCCCTCACAACAAAAGGACGCACCCATTTCCCGGTTCTACTTCCTTCCCATGTTTCATGGGTCACATAAATTTGAACACCCTGAAGGATAGCCTTTGACTCTCGAGCAAAACACGAATGGACAAGAATGGACAAGTACACCCTGTCCAAGAAACCCAAACTACCTGAGCTTTTGGCCCCCCCTAAAAACACACACACACACACACCATGTTCAGCGAACCTGCCAAGTCAAATCATTCCAATCCGAGAGTTCAAGCGGAGACCCCCCAAATCACCCCGACAATTTAGAAAATGGAGTATCCTTTATATGTGGAAATCACGTGGTTGCAGAAACCTCGGCCCAAGAGTCTACGCAGAAAGAAGAATGGTTCAGATTCCATGTAGTATGTGCCCCTGTGTTGAGGGTTCCCCTTTTGGAGTGGATTTAAAGGGAAACCAAAAGGAAACCAACCATTTTGGGTGTCCCCTATTTGAAGGCACACCCATATTTAGTCCACACTCAAAAGGCAACAATGACTTCGGGCCGACTCAGTGGTGGAATACTGCATTTATCCCCAAGGAGGTTGTGTTTTCCAGGGGAAAGAAGGAACCAGCAAGCCCAGCACACACCCCGCCCTCCCCTTCACTTGCCGAGCCTTCTGCAGGCTGCGCTTGCGCTCCGCAGCCGCGCGCTGCAGCTGCCTAAGCTCCGCGCTTTCGGATGAGTTTCTCCCAAAAAAGCCGAAATTAGAGGAATATCCACGGTCGGCTGGAGCACGGGTTCGAGCAATCACAACCCACGCATTGCCTGCAAACTCTGCCTTCTCGTTGCCTGCACGGGCGGTCCAATTTGCGAGCAGCTTGAAGGTGGCCTGGCACTGCTCTTCGCTCGCCGTGCCCTCCACGAGCAACACCGGCTCACCCGGCCCCGGCTCACCCGGTCTAAGATGTTGTGCTGCTCCTCCTCGTTGGAAAAGCTCAGTGGCCCGGTGGGGGTGGGCACGCCTCTCAGGGTCGCAGTTACGCCCGGAGACAACTCTCCTCCTATTCATTGGCGCCGGTTCATGTTTCAGGGTCAAGCTTGGGCGGGGTGGAAACATCACTTACAGTAGGCAAAATGGCAACGGGTTCCTGTTGGCTTCCAAAACAGATCACCCCCAAAAGAGTGCCCTCAAAACAAACAAAAAAACACACCAAGATACCATCTGAAGCTTCATTTGTCCCGGACCTAGTGGTGGACATCAGAATTCGGCCAACTCTTGTGGTTTTCGGATAAACGCCATATCCGCCTACCCCTTAGGGAGGCGTCTGGGAAAGGGTCCAAGCCTGAGACCAGGCTCCATAGACTCCATAGTCTAAAAGTCACCACAGCTTGCGGCAGGGATGTTACCTATTTGGCCCTACTGCGCATTTACTATTATAAAGGATGTGATTGCTACGCTAGAAATTGGTGTCGAGAAGGTTTGAAAAAAGGGTTGTCGGGCACCTTCTGGCTCGATTCCATGGACAGGCTGGAATTGTCAAAAGCATCACCATGGTTTCAGTGAAGAAAGTCGCCTTCCGATAGATGTTGTGCTGCTCTGGGTAATATGGTCAACGCCTGTTTCCGAAACAGGCCTCCATAGCGCGGTTACATTCTGCAACACTAGACTTGCCAGAAATTGGCAATGGTATTTCGACACTTTCGGAGAAGCTTGAGCTGGAAAATGGAGAAACCAGGCAGATGGGTTTGTAAACATGTATTGCCGAATCCTAGAGTCGCCTCGAGGCATTGAGAAAATTGAACGTTTAGCATGGGCGGGGGCCCGTGCAAAAGGATATGGCAAATTGGGTTGATGTTCTGATTCGGGGTGCAACAGTGGAGCAACACAAACGTTGTCAGGTCGTATGTTTCTATTTCAGACCAATGGAAAGGATCCGAAATACGAAGGGCCTCTGAGCCAGTTCCCCAGAGGACATGCATAATTGAGGGCTTGTCCTGTGAAAATGTGTGCAAAGTTAAGTGAGTTCTCCCAAGCGGACCATAGACCGCTGGATTTGTTGCCCAAACCTAACATGTGTCTAAAGGTTGACGCATTTTTTGCACCCATCATTCTTTTGAGAAACTCCAAGTTCCTAGCGTTTGGCATTCTCCAAAAAGGATGCCAAACAAAATCCATCCAGAACGCAGGGTGGCAAGCTTGGCATAAGAGGAACGTGGGATCCTACATTTTAGCCACGAGACGTTCCTTGTTGAGGTCCCAAGTTTAGGACACGAAAGCCGCGCGCGTTGGCTCGCCGAGCGGCTTCTTATTCTCATCCGCTGCCGCCTGCAGCCTCGAGCGATACAAAAGAATCCGCGGAGTTCCCTCTACCCTCCCTCAGGTGCTTGGCTATGGGTCAAAACTCCGTACCCCCAGTGAACATCCCAATCCCCACTAACATAGACTGAAATGAGTGGTGCACCTACCCTGAAATGGTGTTGACCCACGGCCATACGCCTGTGTGTTTTGGTCTGCGCGTATTCTGTAAAAGGATGTCAGGATTTGTGTCCAGTCGCTCTGGTTTCTCTGAATTTCAAGTAACCTCCAGTCGCCTCATACAGCAGTGGGCGGCGGCCCTGTCTTCTTGGCGTTCAATGCATCTGCAAAAATGGGTATGCCGCATGCCCATCCCTACTAGTCTCCCTTGGACAAATTAAATGAATGTACGTTGTATATTCATATAACCTTACTTTTCTCGCACTCGGCTAGGCAGCGTGTTGGGCGCTTGGGAACATCAGGCCTGAGCTGTCTCTTTGGCGGATGCCCAAAATGGGATTGTGGAAGTCCCCCGCTTGGAGAAAAACCCATACTGCATGTTGAGATCATTTGCTTGCGTCCCACGAAAGGTCCCTCTGTGAGGAGACTTTCGTTTGGTGATGTATCTACCCTCCCAGCCACCCTGATCGCCCATCTGCAATCGCAGGAGGGACTCTAGCTGTTCCATCACAAGCACTTGTCTGCCCCCCCATCTCCTCCAATCGAAGGAACATTGGCCAAGTGACTCATCGAGTCCCGCCTGATCTGCAGAGAGGCAACAGACCTTGCCTGACAATGTTCCTGGGCCTTCAACTGTCGAATCTGTCGAATTGCCTCAATGGGCAGGGTTACTATTTGATAGCCCTTTGGTGTAGCCATCTGAGGGAGGGGGGGGTGTCTCAAAGGGGGTCCATTCCCAAAATGGACAACCAACATTCCAACCACAAAAACCAGGGGCACGTCACTGGAGCAGGGGCACGACCCAACAGATTAACAACACATTCTTGTGGCTTATATGGCTACAAACTTTGATAGGGGCCCACCAAAGGCTCCCGGCTTAAGATTCATGCCGCATGCCCATCGGCCAAGCTTTGTGAAAGGCAGCCAAGGTGGAGGCGGTGCCCTTTCTGCCGGCTTAAAAGGAATGAGAACAAACTGGGGTACTGGTGCTTCGACCCGTTTTGGTTAGAACTCCATGGGGATTTGCAACCTTGTGTGTTTCCTCTTTGTCGCAGGAGTTTCGCCCTATTGATTTTCTGAAGGAACACAAAAGTAAACCAACCATTTTAGGAACCGGAGAGAAACCCCACATGGATGCCCCTGGTTTTTATAGGGAATTTGGCGGGTGTCTCCCTATTAAAATGTTCATAGCCTTTTTGGCCGCAACTCCCATACGTGGGTCATAGGGTAGCCCAAACTGGAACCCTAAATGGAAACAAGGACTCAACCCTGCCGTCCCCTGGTTCAAATTTGACCCATACAGCGGTCACTGGATCTTCCCTTCAAAAGTTGATCAATTTACTGGTAGTGTCCCTGGACACGATCGCCACGACTTTTGGAGGTTCCAAAAATGGAAATGGAGAAAACCCTGCCATACCCATTCGGTCTGTTTCACCCATGGCCCTGGCCGTGCACTGCAGCTCTGCTCCGCAGAAACCAATGAGCTTTGCGCCTCAGCCGGTTGGCTCCTTGGTTTGGGTTGGTGGGCAACAGTTTCCCATGTAGCCTCTGCAAGAACCAGGACGTCAGGTTCCCCCCCCCTCCCCGGTAGAGAAGGCCATGTATGTCCAACCTGTACCTTCAAAGGCAAGCAGGTGAAACTCTTGTTCAGCGATTTGTCCATCCTGACATATGAGGTTCCTTTTGGGAGGGTCCACCCTGCTTCCTTGTCCCGCCTTTTAAATGGGATACAACAAGTCGTCCCCTAGCTTGACACGCCCCGTCGCTCAAGGGATCTTTGGTTCGGCTCGGCCTGACTGGGGCTCAACTTGGGTGGGCGCAAGCGCCGAAACCAACTTGCCTTCCATTGCAGTTGTATATGAATACTGTTTGCTTCCATATGGCCATGGGTCAAATCCCAATCCCCACTAAAATAGACTAAAATGGGTGATGCACCTACCCCAAAATGGTACCATTGGTTTTGACCCACAGCCATATCAGCTCCAACACGGCCACCAAAAAGGGCAGAATCATACCCCGTCGAACCCGTAGCTCCGTCCATGCCCCCAATCACCCGTCCCCCTCTACTCCTGCCTCGTCGAGCTGCTTTCTCCACTCCTGCCTCTCTTGGTCATGCCTGGTCGTTTTTTTGAGCACTTGGTGCACAAACCAAAGTGAGCGGACAACATGTGCTCACCGCGCAGCAAAAAGGGTGCTTTAGGCTGTGAAATGAGAGTGAGTCCCCCCGTGTCGCCAAAGCCACAGAAACCACACACTACAGTACACCTCAAGCGGGTCAAAGGTCAACCCCAAAGCTAGGATCTAAACGTATACCCTCATACGGGCAAAGATGTCTGGGATGTTGCCAAACAGGGTGGCTACGGTGCACTGTCCCCAAACCTTGGACTTTGGCGAGGCAGCAAACTTCTTTCAACGTCCTCTTGAGTAGTACGCCACCTACTCTTTTGATGATGCCAACATGGACATTGAGCTCATTTACCCTCCCACCAAAAGGTCCCGGCCTCCTTTCACCCCTCCTGTGGTCCTTGCAATTATCGAATGTTGGCCGAAGATCCTTGGGGGGAGTGTAACATGGAGCACAAAACGCGGGTCCCCTTAATAGAAATTCGGCAAACTACAGCATTCTGGGTTCCACGTTAATCTGCAGTGTAAGGATCCCTGCCAATTCGACCGTGTTAGAAACTCGGACCCCTAAAAAATTGGTAGTTTCAAGAGGCTAAAAGGTACCCCAAGCACACACACACACAAACACGAACAGTGGGCGAGCCAGCGCGCCTTGTGGTGATCAGCACCAGCTCCTCTTTCAAGGATCTGGACTGCTCTTCCTGTCCAGGTGTTGGAGCGATTGGAACCCGCTTACTACAACCCGCGAAGCGCAGCCCTGATGTGAGAAGGAGAACTCCCCGCCGGAATGCGATGAAGTCACTGGGCCCCGGGCGTATTTCTTCATCCTCACCTGGCACTCCTGTGCAGCGTGTGCCTGGCAATGCCGCGAAGCTGAGCTCATCCAAAAACATGCACGGCGGAAAATGCGACCCGAGAAACGCGAATAGACGCAACTCCTTGTGGGAACCACCAAAAAGGTGGTTAAAACTTGCCTTTGCGAGGGGAAATCTCCGACAACATCCGGAATGCTGCCTTCAACAGCTGGAATGCTGCCTTCACCTGGCTATCAAATGGTACCCTACGTGCCCTTGGCAGATTCTTGTGCCGATTCGACACCCACCCAGGGTGCTGGGCCTTTTACAACTGACCTCCCCATTCTTTCCCGAGATCCTTCTTTCCAGAAATTCCTAGTTAACACCCCAAGGAAACCCTGCGGAAAATCTGAACACCCTGTAGAAATCTCTGGGGGACAATCTGGAAAGTCTGGATTGAAAAACCGGCACCAGCTTCTCCAGCGCGTTCATCGCCAAGGAGTCCAGGAGTGATGTCCTGTGGCCAAACTGCTCCTTCTTGTTGTACCGACTCCGGAGCGATTTCCACCGCTCCATCACCCCACCCAACGTGTCGCAGGACGCCCGCTCCGGGTTGGGCAGCGCCTGCAACATCTGCAAGAATCAAGTGGTCGGTTGGCAAAGAACCATGGTGCAAAGAATGGGGGATCAGCCTTGAGGTTTGCCTCGAAAGTGAACTGGAAACCGTTCTAGACATTCTCATTTGCCAAACCCTTCGCAGAACTTCCGGTTCTGACACTATACCCCTAAACTGGAGCTCCATGGGCACAGGCCATCACATCTCTTCAAAAAATCCCCTGGCAGCTATGAGAATTGCGCAGACCAGAGGCGCATCCTCTCCACTGGGCCCCCATGAAGATGCGCCAAGCGTTGAAGCTGTCCCGATAGTCAACGATTGGGCATCTTTTAAGGATCAATGCTCACTTCCTAAGTGGGTGTCCGCTGCAAACCTCAGGGGAAATGGATTGGTCTCCAAATGACCCCCCAAAACGCTGGGTTCCCTTTTGGTTTCCCTTTTGGTTTCCCTTTAAAACAACCCCTCAACACAATACCCTCAAAAATGAAAACCATAAGGGGCTTTAAAACCACCAACAGGGAGATATCTGTGTGAGTCTGTGTGTGTGTGTCTTTTCCTAAGGGTACCACTTAGGCCACCCTGCAAGGCCACCCTTTAAGGTTTCCACTCCGTCCGCCTGCTCGGCGCGGTCCACTTCTAGCCGCTGCACCTGGCTCAGCTCGACGGGTTCTTTGGCCGACCATTGGCCGCAGAAAGGCTGCATGATACCTGTCTTACGTTGAGGTGTCTCATAGGAAAGCTCCTTTTTTGTTGGATGCTTTGCGCAACAACAACAAACAACTCCCCCTGAAAAACTTGCCAGGACTTGAGGGACTCTTTTTGAAGATCTCCTTCGGGGCCAAGTTTTACGCGGGAACATTCCCAAGCCATGGTTCCACGCTCAATGTGATTGTGTGTGTGTGTGTGTGTGTTTGATGTGTGTGTGTGTGGGGTGGTGGTCCCCTTTGCATCCTTCCGTTTGACAAATGTGGTGCCAAATCTTAGCTTGCGACCACCTACCTCTTGAACGCAGCATGAAAGCAGCCTTTGGAACAAGTCCGTAGATGAAATGGCTAAGCAAGATCAGCTCCTAGTTTGTTTGTCTTGTGTGTTTGCGCGTTTGTTCGTTCACGCTGGTTCCATTGATTGTTGCTTTGCTTGCTGGCTGTCTGACTGGCTGGCTGGCTGGCTTGCCTGCTTGCTGGCTTGCTTCCTTGGTTGTTTGTTGGTTGGCTTGTTCGTGTAGCTTGTGTCAAAAACAGGAATCGCCCCTTCAGGCTCCTTTTGGACAGCTGCCTTTGCAAAAATTGTTGAACGCGATCGTCTGGGGGCCAAGGTGTCGTGTCTTGTTTCTCCTTTTCAAACCTTTCAAAGCCCAGGTGAGGTCTGTGACAGACACACACTAAAAGTTACATGCTGTTTGCCTGAGAAAATGGTGCCTACCCAAGCTCTGACACCACCGGCCTTGGCCTTCATTGCCACCGCCTCTGTGTCGATGCTCGTGAGGTGCGCCTGAGTTTCGTATGGAAAAGTTAAACCCAAAAAAGGCACCAACACACACTCAAATCTCCGGAGGAACAAGGTTAGCACTTGACTTGTACTTGTCATCAGGTACCAAATGAGTTGACCCAACACCAGGAGGTTGGAGTTTACAGCCGTAGCCGCTGCCCCCCCCCCCCCACCCTCTCCAGTTATGCCGGTCGAACCTATTTCGGTTTCGGCTCGCTTTTTTCTCGCAGGTTCTGCCACACCCCTGGGGGCAAACTGGTTGCAGCCAGATCCTGGCCACCAACAAAAAAGTTTGAACATGCCCCCTAGCAAATTGGTTGGAGGGCCCCTAACAAAGGTGGATAGCTGGTTGGCCCCCTAGCAAAACTTGACAGAGATCAACCGGGGGCAGGCAGTCTGGTTGATAGCGCCTGGGCTCTCCTTTGATCCCCTCTCACTTCATGGTCAAAGGTGGGCTCGATTGAAGCGACACCAATCTTGTTCAGCAAAGGTGGGTCCCTCCCAGGCCCTTGTCGGACCCATCCCATATCAACAACTCCCAAGTGACACCTTGATCTCATGGGCCGATCACCACGGCTACGGGTAAGGCTCACCCATTGCACCAAGGGATACTGAATATCTCCCCTTTACACATCACCCAAAGAGTGGCTTGGCCGTTCCACGAAGTGATGTTCAAACTTCCCCCAAAGGGTATGACTCTTAACCCGGCCCTGTGTTTGGACATCATTGGTTGGATTTTTGCAACCACCAACTACTTTGACCCTGTTCCAACTTCCAACTATTCACATCTGCCATATGACCCCCACACCAACCGCACCACGTTTCCAAATGTTGGTCGTTCACCAAGGTCAAACGGCAAATGTCCTTTGCCGCAACCAGGGCCCCCGGTGACATTGGGAAAATATAATGGCGGTCCCGCACCTACTGAAAAAGTGGTTTTAGAGGATGAAACCCACTGAAGAGGGCTCTTCACGGGACTCCACAGGCTTTCAAACTTTCGAGCAGGGGTTTCTATCCCAGTGCCTTCTAGGCTCTAGGGGTTGATTTGAGGGTATTTGTAACTTAGGGGGTTCCAAAAGTATGTCCAAGCCCCTCAACTATGATGGACATCCGCCTCTGGTCGATCCATGGTGCCCTCAACAACTGGGCCACCTCTATAATGATACAGCCGCCCAAAACCACCTGATAAAGAAACAATAGATTAGATCCTCTGGAGGGTGATTTGGCCCGTCGAAATGTATCAACGTCATGCAACCTTGGCCAAGGCCTTTGTTGACCTGGTTTGCCTTGCACCTGAATGTGTCAATATGGAACTGCGGAGCCCCAAAGTGGCAGAAAACGGTCTTGCTGTTGGATTCCCCACCCCCAATTTCAGGGTAACCAAGCCCACCTCCTCCCTTCGGCTCTTTCTTCAGTTTCCCCAACCCGAAAACAAGCCCACCCCTTCCACCTTCCCCTCGCGGCGAATCCGCCGAAATCGAAGTCGCGGCCTTGAAGGACTCCTCCCGCTCCTGCTGCGACTTGCTCGCCTCCCTGAGCCGCCGCTCCAAATCCTGCTGCACCGCCTCACGCAGCTCGGTAGGTACGGAGACGGGGCCAAACCAAACGCCACCAGGACGGAGACCCTTCGTTTAATTCGTTTTTTCAACTTCGAACCTGTTGTTTGGCAATTTTGATCTTGAGTTTATGGTCAAACAACAAACAGGTGCGTCAACAACAGGTTGGCGGTCAGCACAGTTTCAAGCTTTTTTGTGGTTTGTTTTGTCTTGGTTCTTCTTTGATCTTTGTGTTGCTTCTTTGTTTGGAGTGTGTGTGGCGGTTTCTTGCCAGGGGTGTGTCCCCGCAAAACAAATGCTGCCTCTGATTTCTTCCGGGTCCTTTGTCCTTGGGGAAGATCACCCAAGACCACCAAATCATGAGTACGTGTCGCCGGCTCCATCTTCAACCAAGCAAGCAAGCAAGCAAGCATGCCCAGTTGGGCTTTCTGACTCCAAAAGACAACCGCCAGAAAAAGCCACCACAAGAGAACCACAAGAAGGAAATCACCAGCAGAAAAGAAACCACTAGGGAAAACCACCTTCGGAATCCGTCAGATGAGGAAACCACGAGTAAGCAACCCAAAGCAAACCACCAGCAGGAACCACCTAAACCCACTCGCGCGGCAGGATGGAACAAGGAACCGCTTTCTTGCTGCGTGTGCGCGATGTTTCTTTGGTTTTACGGCGCCTGTGTCTGGAGCGCCAAAGTTTTGCCACGGAAGGGGTGAATGGTTTGCACACTGTGGTCTCTGAACGAAGTGCTTCAGCCCACCTTGAGCAGCTTGATCAGAAGGCTGATGGGTTATATGCTTTCTCACCCAGTTTGAAATGAATATGGATACAGCGTCAACTCATTGCAACTGCTTCCACCTTTCAAGCCAAGATGAAGGTCATGCAGGTAGCTTGCTTGTGCCCACCGCATTCGCGAACTTTCTCGCGCCCATAACTCTCAAGGCATGTCTGCGAGTGCTGCCACATGAAGGAACACCCACGATGAGCATGGGACCTCTGACGCACGTGGTGCAATAAGCTTAGCTATCTCACATCTCAGAGACTCACTCACTGTCCCTTCTATCCTCCATTCCATTCCGTCTATCTCCTCACCACATCACACCTCCTCCGTCTATCCCAGATGCGGAGGTGATAGGGTGTGAGAGAGATGAAAGCTTCTTCCTTCGTGTCACCCATCATTATCCTTTCATTCCCTTCCTCACCTCCAAATCTAGAATGGAGGTTACGAGGAAAGATATGAGATAGCGAATAGATGGATAGAGAGACCGAAGGGAGCGGTTGGGTATCTTTCTAGAGATTTATTAATAGCCACAGAAGGACGAATCCAGAGGCAACAGACCCAATTATAAAATCCTTGAATCGAGGGAAGAAGATAGGAGAGAGAAGGGAATTTGAGATGCATTAATAGCGAAATCCTGGATTTCTGGATTTCTAAAGTTGACAAGGAATCCGCCGACCCTCTGCCTCCCGTCCCAGCCTCCTGCAGAGGGGACCGGCGTGGGATGCAACTGGAAGTGATTGGAATCAATGATGGGCCCTGAAAGTACAATTCCCAGGACCGGTCCCGGTCCCGGTCCCGGGACCAGTCCTGGGACCGGGACTGGTCCTGGGACCGCTTCGGATCCTGCAACCAATCCCGGGACCGGTCCCAGGACCATCCTGGTCCCGGCCAGGACCGCTTTCGGAGCGGGCCGAGACCGATCTGGTCGAGCAGCTGGCGGCCGCGTCCGAGCGCGTCTTCGACGCGAAGCTCACGCCCGAGGCTGTGCGCCAGCGGCTGCTGCCCTCTCTCTGTGAGGCAATCGCGCGGCGGCGATTGGATGCTGAAGGCCAAGCTGCCTGCCCACGCGCGCTTCTAGGACTGGTCCGGTCCCAGCCGCTGGTATCGGATCCCACTTCAAACCGCTGCCTTGTTTCTAGGACCAGCTCAACGTGACTTGGGCGCGAGCCGGCCCGTGCGGTCATTGACGGACGAGCTGCCTGTCTGACTTTTCCGCTAATCCTTGTGGTAGTAGAGGATCCCTCTAGGGCCACTGTCGCCGGGGCAGTTTCGGGAGGGCCAGTTTCGGGACAGGCGACTGCTCCCGGGCCAACTCGAAGTGACTTGGGCGCAAGCTGGCCCAAGCGGCAATTAACGGACTAGCTGCCATATTTCTGACTTTTCCGTTAATCCTTGTTTGTGGTCGTAGAAAATCTTATAAGTGGTCCCTGGGTTTGCGGACGTGTTTCAGGACCGGTCCTTCTGACTTTTTTCTTAATGCGCCGAGGGTCGGCGGCAGCAGGCGGGAGCCTGGTTAATCCGGCCACCGGACGTGATCGGGCCGCAGGCCAAAGCCCGCAGGGCTTACCTTCAGGTATAAGGCCGCGCGCCCCATGCCGCCGACCATGCGCGGACCATGCGCGGACCATGCGCATACGTTTTGTGCTGGGCCTGCCCTTATAAGGGGCGAAGGATTCGCGGATTGGTTTAGGCGATTTTCGAAGATTTTTGTAGCATCTCCCCGCAGAGTCACAAAACGAGCACTTTTTGGGGGGTGCCTAATACTGGACAACACCCCCAGCATTACCAGCATCATCCCGGATGATGCGTATGATGCTATGCATGCTGGCGATGCGAAGCAAGGGCTGAAGGGAAATGCAAGGAAACAGGAGTGACTGGAAGTGAACAAAATGAAAGTCAAAGGAATTGCACGAAAATGAGGAGGGCACTGGAGAGAAACCGAGATGCAGGAAAATGCAGGGGCAGAACGTGAAGGGGACCGGACAGCGGAAACGAAAAGGGAAAGGAATGCGAATAAAGGAGTCTTCAAGGAAATGAAGGGAGCTGAAACGGCAGTGAAGTGGAAGGAAGTGAAGGGACATGCCAGGAAACTGTCAGGGAAGACATGCAAAGGAAGTGAAGTTCAAATCATCCCGAAAACTAACAGGACTTGGAGGGAAAGGACATCGAAGAACGGGAAGGGGTGCCCGGTGGCCGGCTGTGTCGCGTCAGCGTGTAAATAAAGGGAACAATGGTGGGTTGGTGGACATCTTTTCATTTATTATCTTCTCCAACTTTAGGGATGTGGCCAGGAGAAGCTTTCTATCTTTCAGATCCTTGTGACTTCTTTTATCTCATGCTGCTATATCTCTAGGAAATGACTTTATTAATAACGAAATTTCATCAGACTATATTATTTTCTTCACTTTATGGTCATTCCATGTGTCTTCTCTTTTTATTAGTTTGCAGATTAAATAATTTTGCATTCTCGCATTGTCAATTAATGATTCACTTTATTCTTGTCTTTTTTTTAAAAAAAAAAATCTTACATTTCTTTCATCTATCTAGTCTGTTGGTCTCTTCTTCTAATTCTTCTCTTTTGGAGTTGTAATGACATGCCTTTTATCTTGTTTGTCTTTTTCATATGTCAGCTCATTTTATTTCCGGGAGATCCGGCGGGTTGACAATGATCAGGAGATAATATCCCTTTTCCCTTATTTTCAAGTTATTGTTTTAATTATGGATAGTATCCTTTATTTTGCTTTATTGTTGGTTGACCTCTCTCATCATCCCTCACCTCGAGGTGATTAGGGATGGAAGGAAAGGATGAAGGGATGAGAATGGGTGAGATGAAAAAGATGTCCCTCACCCACCCAATCTCTCTCCATCACCTCCCCCGGCATTCCATTCCCTCCGTCATTCCATTCCTAATCCTTTCCAATCCTAGATTTCATGGTCACTTTCCTTACACCTCCAAGCCTCTATTCTATGGCTTGGTGAGGTGATATGAAGCAAACCCCCAACGGAGAAAAGGGCACAATTTTTGTTGGCTGGTTTTAAATGAAACTGGTGGTTCAAAAGGAACTGGGGTTCAAATCCCCAAGCCCATCCAAACCGCCAGTTAAGGGTTACCTGAGCTTTCAAAAAAAAGAACGCTTTCTGGGAGCAAGCCCAAAAGTGAATGGGGTACCAAAGCTCCGGGGAGAAAGAACGGTTTCAACACCTCCGGAATTCAAGGAGTATGCAAAAGAGGTACCGGTATCCGTCCCTTCCACCCCATCCGACCAAATCGCCGGAAAACGCCGGCAGGGTGCCCCGTGTGCGTCAAGGAAGTCTATGTAAAGGTGACAAGTGGGTGCGTCCTTTTGTAGGCTCCCCCCAAAATGGTGCTTTTCCTTTTGGCGTCCCTTTAGAACCACAAAGGAAGGAGTCCCTCAAAAACGACACACCAAAGTAGTTGTAGGAAACACTGTGAGGTGCACTATCTCTCAATGGCGGGGCGAACGCCAAAATGGACGGCAAACCCACGTCTTTCTCCAAGCTTCCTGCGGCTACCCCAGCTTTTGCCCACTGGTTCAGAAAGAACCTCACTAAGTGTAAAACCAAAAGGAACCCTTGCCATTTTAGGAGGCGCGATTCCTGAAAGGTGAACCACGCCCATGTCAGAACAAAACAAAAAAAGAAAAAACAGGCCCCGGTTTTCTTCTGGAAGGCAAGCCTACCCAAAAGGAACACAGTGCTCTCCCCTTCCCAAGACGTTCGGTTGACTCGCCTGGCAGGGCCCAAGCTCAGCGCTCAGAGCCTGAAGAATTCGAAAAACGGGGCACCTCCAACCAGGAGAGCCCCCACCAAATAAACCCTTATCTTTCTTTTTGGGGTGGGTTTTCAAATTTGGCTGGTGAAGATAGGACACCCAAAGGATTGCCATTCTTGAGGTGTTCCCCTGGAGAAGCTACATTGATGGGACTTGTGGACAGAAACCAAGCGTCCCAATGGAGAAACACCCCATTTCAAAGACCCGAGGAAGCCTTTCTGCGGCACGACCAAAGTTTTGACGACCGGGTGGACCACCCAACATGATTTGCCGGTTTCTGACGTAAATAAACACTTCGGATGCCAAATCCGTTCTCAGTTCCCCAAAGGACCTGGAAATAAAGGTTTATTGGAACCCTCACAAACTATGGACCAAATCAGGGAAACCAAAAGGGCTAAGGTCGGCTTTGGCCAAGTAAGACCTTTTTGCCATTGTAACCAGCACTGTTTGCGGCGGAACTGCAGCTCGGGCTTCCAAAGCAAACCGTTTCCTAGAGATTCAACGCCTCAACTCATTGGGCTGTTAGTTCAAGGCGTTGGAAGTTGCAACACCCCCAAAAAGGTTCGTGGATATATATGTATATATATATATAACAAAGAACATATATATGGTACACACCCCCCCCCCAGTGATCTACCTTCCTTCAGAAT